AAGTTTGTCTATGTGATATTAGAATTTTCTGAGACAAAGAATTTTGGTTTTTCTTTTTTTTTTTCAGTAAGAGGTTTTTATTTAACAGAGTTTTTGGACCAAAAAAAAATCGCAATATATCGCCTTGCTTACAGTATCGCAATACATCGGGATATATCGTGACCCCTTTGTTATGATATGTATCGTATCGCCAAATTCTTGCCAATACACAGCCCTAGTCCCAACTGGTTGTTTTTGCTCCACTGCCTGCTGCCTCAAGACATTACAGGATTTCTCAAACATGCACGAATGAGTCAAAGTTAGACTCTGAGCATGTTTTTTATGACAGCATAACGTTATAATATGATATACAACTCAGAAAAGTTGATTTTACATGATATTGCCCCTTTAATTTTGTCCAGAAGGTGAAATTTATCTGAAAAGTTTTTTTTAACAATAACAAGCCCAAAGGAAATAGGACTAAGGACTTTCTACTTCTTATCCAAAAAAATAAAAAACAAAATAAACAAACAAAAAATTTAAATAGGTCGACTGGATGCGCTCTTCATTGTTAACCTGTTTGTCCACCATGTGGAGGCGGAGCTTATGTTCACCTGAAACTCCTCAGACTGAAGAAGTCTCTTGGAGGAGAGACGAAATGTTTCATTAGAGAAGAACCCGTCCAGAGGATCTACCGTATTTATTCGTGTATAATACGATCTCATGTATAATACGACCCACCCTATTTTTAGCCTAAAAAGCATAAAAATTTAATTATCATATTACCTCTAATTTCATATGGACTTCAGCATTTTTCAGCCTTTGCAGTCTTTATATACTGTATATCAGTAAAATTATCATTTGACTGTTGTATCAGTTTTTAATTTTATTTTAACAACATATGTACTAAAAAGGTACACAACAACAAATGTATAACTACAACAAAAACTATCAATCAAATGTTCATTTGTTAACTGGTGTGATATAACAAACAGAGGTGTGTGGCTCTAACAAGTGTGGATGAAGCTGAATCAAAGCCTTCAGAATCAGGCTCACCATCATCAGTATCATTAAAAGTTTCTGGTATTCCTCCTCTMTAATAAAGGCATCAGAATCCCACTCAACAACAATCTCATGTTCTGTGTCTCACGAGCGCCCCCTCTGGTGGGGAAACTTTTTTKAGGRAGACCAACTTTTACAGAACACCGGTAGACGGCAGCCATTACAGACGACCATGTGTTTGTTGTTGTTCCAGGAGCGGCCCGGTCGCACATTAATATCATTAGTTCGTTATGCGGGACTGCCTTTTTTTCTTTTTCACATCATGTTGCCTGCTTGGATCTGTTAGTATCTCGCTCGGAGGCACYYAGGAGTMTTAGAGGTAAGATCGCTTCAACCGCTTTTTACGACGGGGTTTCATTTCCAGACTCAGGGATTTTCTGAATGAGGCTGATATTTCAGTTAAAATACATCAAAAATATTTATCCGAGTATAGTACTACCCCCCAACTTTGTGCATGATTTTATGGATTAAATTTTACGTATTATACTTGAATAAATATGGTACTTCAGTTTTATTTATTTTTCCACCTGGATTACTGAGAAGCATCAGGAAACTATCCTTCAAGTTTTAGAGGTTTCTCTGCTCCAACACACCTGAGCAGAATGAATCAGTGATTAACAGGCTCACTGAATCATGTGTTTAGGAGCAGGATGGTGGACCTTGAGGACCAGGATAAAACACCTGTTTTCAGTAAAAAAAAAAAAAAAAAAAACTGAGTATGAGTGAAGTTCTGCTCACCTCTAAACAGTTCTGTCATGAACAAGTATTGTGCAGCTCTGTCCGCGATGGATCTAACGTCTGTAGGGCGATCCAGGGCACTTGCATTCACATACTCTGTGGACAGAAATGTGGTTAGAAAGTTTGGAATGTGTGCTTTCAAGAAGGTATACAGCAAAGACGCAATACAAGTAAAAAAAACTAAATTCACCATTATTATTAATGGCTATTGTGCTTTTTGTCTTCTAGTTTCTATCGTTTCCAACATAATTATGACACACGCTACGCAAAGCAGGAGTCATAATTCATTCATTAATGCCAACAGGACCACATCATCTGCAAACAGCAGAGATGGAATCCAGAGACCACTAAACAGGACTCACCTTAACCTGCAGCATAGGCTCAAGAACCAATCTGCTTTGGGGGGCTAGACCTTATTACTCTGGAGTTGCTCATTGTGAGAGGCGCAGAGCYTGTAAGGTTTACTTTTAGCCAGTATGATTAGTCAATACATGTAAGATTAGCCCAAKTATACCTCTGTGTACAATTGTACCATGACAGATTATTACAGATTTAGGTAAAAGATACTGGTTAACTCAGACCATGTTTGGTGCATTCAGCACTTTTTTTTTCTGTTCCAGTCCTATAACTTCTAGGACATGCAACACACACACTGAGCTGGGTTAACTTTTCGSTTTATTTACCACAGTTCTGACAATTTCTATTGTTTTAGGGAACTTTGTTTTGGGACTCTTCATCTCCCTCCATAGCTAAAAATAGCACTTAGCTAGGTTGATTAATCGAAAAAATAATCAACAGATTAATCGATTATTAAAATAATCCTTAGTTGCAGCCCTACACTTAGCATTAACACGTCAACAGWGTAGCCATTAGCAACAAAGCTAYTGTTGTGCAACACAAATAAGATTCCAGKCAGATATAGGTGCGCTGAATAATTTARCAGTTTCTATTTTCAACCAKGCTTCGAGGCAGATAATTTGCCTCGAGGATTTTCAGTAATCCAATTACTCAAATAATTTGAGGAATTGTTTCAGGCCTAAACTGCAGTCTCATAACCATCAGACAACATCTGCAAGAGAAGGGTTTTAAGAACAGAAAACATTCTCAAAGGCCTCGTCGTCTTCAACAGCATTAAGAAATTTATTAGATTAGTTACTGATTTTAAAAGCACTACACCATTTTCTTAGTTTTCCTTTTTAAGTATTGACTGTTATAATCCATTGTTTAACTATTGTTATGTTTAGATACATGTCCGAATCATTTTTACAACACATAACAAACCATTCATAATACATGAGGTGAGAAATTGATGTTCAGAGTGGCCTGCGATGCAGCCGTAGGCCAGCAGGGGGCGCATCAGGCACTGAAGACTCTGTATAAAAGGACCAGAAGTTCCGGGTTTCAGGCAGCGTTGCTCCGATTGCTTCAGCATAAGCAATAAAGCTTCGCTCATAACCAGATCTGGGGTTGTATGGTTTCCATTCTCTTCACATTTTAATCTATTCAATATAATMTATATGTGGATTTGCCACATTTCAGTTAACGAACACAAAATATTCTTACAAGTACAAAACTGCCCATTTGGATGGAGAGCACCAAACATGGGACTTTGAAAGGTGGAAGAAAATGTTATTCTCTGATGAGAATATATTTGTAATGGAACTAATCCTTTTATGTTTAAGCTAGTAATTCATGACATCCTTTAATGACCTAGGTT